GCATGTATCAATATTAAAAATCAAGATGACAAGTGTTTTAAATATTCTATTGAGTGTGGATATTGTAAAATTTGTGATAAAGCACACCCTGAAAAGATGTTTCACTACAAGAAGATAGAAAGTGATTTGATTTTTGATGGTGTGAGTTTTCCTGCTAATAATAATGATATATATATATATATTTGAAGAAAATAATAAATCAATATCCGTTAATGTTTATGAAATTGATGATAATGAACAAATTGTTATTAGTAGAAAATTCAAAAATAAAGATGCTTCTTTTCATTTTGATTTGTTAAGAGTTGATGATGAGGATTGCAGTCATTATACCTATATAAAAAGTTTGAGCAGACTTATTAATAATCAAAAAAGTAATCATAATGGCAAGTCCTATTTTTGTAAATATTGTAATCATGGATTTGGAAATGAAGAATTATTAAATAAACATTATGATAGCGGATGTATGGAAGTTGATGGACAGCAGATAGTAATGCCTAAGCCTTATGAGAAAGTTAGTTTTAAGCATCACTTCAAAAAGTTAAGATGTCCTTTTGTTGTATATGCTGATTTTGAATGTTTGACAGAGGAACTGAAAAAACCTGATGAAGATGAAGATAAAAACACTTTTTCTTATCAAGGGCATAAACCATGTGGTTTTATGCTTAATATGGTTAATGCTGTTGATAATACAAATTATGAATTTATGTATCGTGGTAAAGATGCTGTTGATGTGATTTGTCAAAAACTTAATGAGATTAGGGCAGAAGTAAAGGAGAAGATGGGAGAAAACGAAAAAATAGACATGACTGATGAAGATAAAGAAGATTTTAAACATGCTAAAAACTGCTTTATTTGTGGGGAGAAGTTTAGAATGAACTACAAGAATGCCAAGGAAGAAGAGAAATATAGAAAAGTTAGAGATGGAGGGCGAAGCCCTCCAAGCTTTACAGGTAAGTATAGAGGTTGTGCTCATAATGGTTGCAATCTTAATTTTTGTAATAGATATTTTAAAATTCCTGTATTCTTCCATAACATGAAAAATTATGACGGTCATTTAATTATTCAAAATGCTGATAAATTAAGTAACAACAGTAAAATAGGTGTCATCGCTCAGAACAGTGAAAAATCTATTAATATCAGTTTTGAAAGTTTGAGTGTTAAAGACACTTTTGGGTTTTTAACTGCTTCATTAGATAAGTTAGTTTCAATGAGTAAGTATGATAATACAGATGAAGAAGATAAAAGTAAATGGTTATTGCGTGAAAACTGGAAGATAATTTTAGGTTCAGTAGTAAAAATGATGTGATTAAGAGTGAGAAATGTCTAGATTTATTAACTGATAAAGGCGTTTATCCTTATGACTACATGAATTCATTTGATAAATTTGATGATGAGCAATTACCGAGTAAGGATGATTTTTATAGTCAGTTGAGTGAAGAAGGTATAAGTGTTAACGACTATGAAAGGGCAAAAATTATATGGAAGCATTTCGACATTAAGAATATGGGTGAATACCATGATTTATATTTGAAAACTGATGTATTATTATTGACTGACATTTTCGAAAATTTTAGAGATGTATGTATGAAATATTATGGATTGGACCCTGCTTATTATTATACATTGCCTAACTTTGCTTTTGATGCTATGCTTAAAATGACTGGTGTAGAGATTGATTTAATATATGACCGAGAAATGTATGAAATGATAGAAGCGGGACTTAGAGGAGGGATGTGTATGGTTTCTACTAAAAAAGTTGAAGCAAATAATAAATACATGGGAGAAGATTATGATGAAAAGAAAGAACGTAGTTATATTAACTATTTAGACGCTAATAATTTGTATGGGTTAAGCATGATACAAAAACTGCCATATAAAAATCTAAAATGGGATGATACATTAAAAGAAGAAGACATTATTAATTACAAAAATAATAATATTGGATATATTCTAGAAGTGGATTTAGAATATCCTAAAGAATTACACGATTTACACAATGACTATCCAATGGCACCTGAGGTTATGAATGTTAAAGCCGACATGCTGTCAGATAAACAAATTGAAATTTATGAATTTTTAAATCATAAAAAACCTACGGATGAGAAAACAAATAAATTAGTATTGAATTTAAATGATAAAGAAAAATATGTAATCCATATAAGAACCTTACAATTTTATTTGAAGCAGGGGTTAAAACTTAAGAAAATTCATAGAGCAATTAAATTTGAACAAAAAGAAGTTTTAAAACCGTACATTGAGTTTAACACTGAGAAGAGGAAGAATGCTAGAAATGATTTTGAGAAAGATGTTTATAAATTGATGAACAATGCCATATTTGGAAAAACAATGGAGGATAAGCGAAAACATTTAGACTTTGAAGTTGTGAGTGATGAAACTAGATATATGAAGTGTGTAAGTAATCCTAACTTCAAACATAGTCATATCATTAATGAAAATTTGGTTGGAGTTGAAAAGCAATATACAAAGTTAAAACTAGACAAACCTATATTTATTGGGATGAGTATTTTAGATTTGAGTAAGCAACACATGTATGAATTTTATTATGACGTTATGAAACCTAAATATGGAGATAATATTAAAATGGTATATACTGATACTGATAGTTTTGTATTTCATACTAAAACCAATGACATTTATGAAGACCTGAATACAATTAAAAAAGAAATAGATTTTTCAGATTATCCTAAGGAACATAAATGTTATGATGAGAATAACAAGAAAGTATTAGGTAAATTTAAGGATGAATTAAAAAGTAAAATAATAACAGGGTTTATAGCCCTTCGTCCTAAATGCTACGCTTACTCAGTTTTTGGTGATGAAAAAGAATATAAGAAATGTAAGGGCATAGCAAAAGGCACAGTAAGACGTCAAATGAAATATGAAGAGTTTGAGACGGTTTTAAAAACTAATAAGGTTATACATAAGTCATTTAATAGTATTAGAAGTAAAAACCACATAATTTTTAGTATAGCAACTAAAAAAATTGCTCTTAGTAGTTATGAAAACAAAAAATATTGGATAGATAGTGTAAACTCACTTGCTTACGGCCATTATAAAATAAATTCTTTGAAAACGACTTAAAGAAATATTGACTTGATATATTAAGATAGAAATGAACGGTGATAAAATCAATAATTATATCAATAAAAAATGCTATGATTGTTGTCACTTCAAAAAAGAAAATATGGAATTGTATAAATTGAATTTACCTAATGAAACAGTGAATAATATTATTAATTATTCAATGGATGAAAAAGACGAATGTGAAAATTGTCAGGAATGGAGAGATAATCAATTTTTAATCAAATGTTTGTTGAGAATAAAAGGAAGACATAATAGAAATGTAGAAGATGAGATTTTAATATTTCTAACTGTAAATAAAATACCACCTTATGATTATGTTAAACAGTTTCTTAAAATCAGTAAGAAAAATATGAAATGATTTATGATATATTATGGATGTTGGGATATAGTCAAGAGAAAGGAGAAGATGTTAAAGAAAATATCAAATTATTTATTGAAAGTAAAAAGTTTAATATTCAAAATACATTGAGAGATATTAATATTATTTTTAAAATGATGTATGAAAGAAGTAAGATTTGTCAATTAAATTATTATCCTGTACTGAAATTATAATCATACTATAATAATAACATGTAAAATCTTACATGTTATAATTATACTGTACTTATGGTTTGTAAAGATTGAAATATTTTATTTTCTTAGTTTTCTTGTGTGCTTTGACTGTTTGGTTTTGTGGAACAATTAGGTGAAATGTGTTTTAGTCATATTTTTAAGTCTGAGTGAAAAATTCGCGAACAATGAATAAGGTAAAAAGAAAAAATGAAGAATAACTGGAGTTTCTGAGAATTGGAAAAAGACTTAAAACACAAAATGAATAAGGGTAAACAAATAGTAAAATGAAATAGGTTAAGTAGTGAAAAACTAATGAATAAGGTGTGCATCTTTCTAGGAATTACTTAGAATGAATAAGGTTGTGATTTATTAACCTTATCTATTATTTGATACTTGGTTTTTCAATGTGTTGTTCCATTGGTTGATAGAAAAAATACAGAAATGATTTTCAGTTCCTTCAAATCCCATTTCTGTATTTTTTTGGGGGGGGGGCGACTCTCCGAGTTTCCGAAATCTGCAGCAATCCTTAGTGTGAACACAAGACACAACCACGACCATCTAGCACAAGGAGCGAGGATTATGTTTCAACCCGGAAAGCGCGCCACAAAAACAAACTTTCTGGGTGCGGACGGACAAAGATCTGGTCGGGCGCGCCCATGCACCTTTGAAAGCCGCGCTGGTCTGCTGCCGCTGCTGAATGACCGGCACCCAAAACCCATTGGTGTTTTGGTTCTACCAAGATGGTTCTAAAGGGTTCAAGCTTCACGAAAATCCCAATCGAACCAGGTAGTAGAACCTGAAAGAATGGCCAACTTAAGGGGAACCCTTAGCCCTAACTTCGGCTCGAAAAACGGAAGCCTTGTTCAGGGAAGCCACGGAAGAGTTTCTCACGCCGGGATTTTGGAGTCGATTGCCCGGACCGATGTGACTGGGAAAAGCATAAGTGGCTAGAGGAGACCCACTTTAAAACCGAAGCTGTGCAGGGTTCCCTGTGGTTCCCTTCAAGAATCACCCCACCAGAAGGAAGCACTCTCTAGATCGGCGCCGAAAGGTGATGTGAAATAACCATCCCAAAGAGGAAGTATGCTCCGGGTTTATGCAGCAAAGCCTAACACAATGAGCTGACGGGGCAATGAATCGGCAGCACCCTTGTTTCTGAGCCCTACTTGCAGGAACAGCGTACTTAATAAGTAATTGGCAAACCTGGTTATATCCCACTTCGACTTAATTTCGTGGGTGATAACCATGGTTATTACCCACTTAAGTACCTCCCCCTCCCCCCTCCCTCCCCACAAAACCCACAGAACCACCAAACCTACCGCGGAAACGCCCGCGTTTCCGGCATCCTTGCGGAGACCCGCTGCTTCTCTAAGGCCAGCTGCCGTTGCCTGGGGTCGTTCGATCGGTGGCCGTGGCCGTCGCTTACGTGGGGATCGGTAGGGGTGTCGGGGGGGGGGGGGGGGCTGGGAGGGGTCCGGGAGGGGTCCGGGAGGGGAGGGGGGGGGAAGAGGGGGGGGGGAGGTAGCCATGGGCGTCGTTTACATGGCAAATGCACACAGGGATTGCAGCCACTTGGGACTCATTAGTAGTCATCGACCACCTCAAACTCTGTTTCCCGAGTAGTCGCACAGGGAGCGTAAGCGGGGAAAACAAGCGGGGCCCGTGGGCACTCGGATCACGATCTTTAGTTCCCCGAAGTCCGGCGTTCCAAGTTTTGGATCCAAATCTCCTCTTCTCTTGACACTGCCTGGCTTGGCTTGGCAGTTGCCTCGTCACTTCCGGCGTAGAAAGAAAAGAAGAAAAAGAAGAAAAACAAACTCCCCGGCTCCAAGCACCAAACCTCCATGCACATGACTATGGTTCCAAACGCTGAATCATGTTGTCTCATGTGCCGAAAACATCATGGGCTCTTCACATTGGGAACCCCCCAGAAAAAATGAAGAAAAAAAAGGAAACTATTGGCGACCCTTTTTGAAGCCACCCAACCAGGGTGGTGCCAAAAACAAATACCCATTTGAAGCAAAATCCCTCCCCCCCCTCTCCCCCCACCCGCGCGTGAATTTCGCTCGGCTCCCGTGCCGGCTCATCTTCTGCTGCAGAGAGGCAGCTCCTGCGGGGTGGTGGGGTGGGGCGGAGGGTGGGGTGGAGGGTGGGAAAGGGGGGGTTGGGTTGGGGTTTGGAAACGGTAAGCATAGGTGTCCTTTTGGGGGAAATGGATGGGTTTCCCTGGTACATGATGAAAAACCACCAGGTAAACCAGGAATCGCCGTCCAATTTTTCCACCAAGACAACCAAAAGGGACAGCTATGCCCGCAAGTTCTGGAAACCTGGTACCAAACAGACAGCTTCCCTCTGCCATATGCCAGTTTTTGGTCGTTGGTCTCAGTTGTACAGTGGCGATTGTTACCAAGAATATGCAAGAGGCGCATGGTGCATAAAGCACGGACTCTTCTTTTTCATATGATTGGTGAGCGTGCTGTCTTGGCCTCTTTGCATTGGAAGTTAGTCGAGGCCACAGATGTCCCGTCCCGGCTGGACAGAAACACCCAACGTAACAGCCTGAAGACTACCCCAATGCAACAGGGTTTTCTAAGCGCACGCGATGCCTTTCTCACAAATGGCATGCCACGCAGCACACGAGGCTTCGACTAGCTCCCATGACTGCGAAACTGTCCATTGATCCTGAATGCCACCGGCTGAGGCCATCAGAGACATTGGAGTCAGATTGCACATACTCGACGTACACTCGGCACTGCAAGGATGCCCACAGCAAATGAGCTGTGCAAGACAAAAGGGCAATGTCAGCTGCGGAGCTGGATCCCTTCACCAAGGCGCTGCAAATGGACGTATTGTCAACAAATAGCAGAACATCTTGGCCACGCAGAGAGTCAGCGAGGATCGCAAAGGCTTGCAGCACTGCCAAACCCTCAAGCGGAGCGATTTGCGTATCACGGCTCAAGAAAGATGCCAGCACACACGGCGGGACAGAGGCAGCGAGGCCATATGCAGGCTGAGTACCACGTCCCAACAGCACAGCTCCCAGGCCCGGGGACTCCATGTCGTGAGGCTCCCAACTTGCGACAGTGTACAAAACCCTAACAGGCGAAACCCGACGAACAAAACAAAGGGAATACTCCGAGGAAGGACATGCTCGGCAAGCACACGCAGGAAGTGCAAGGATCGCTCCAAGACGGGGTGGATGGCAACATCCGTCTCAGCGTATTGGCGCTGGATCAAGGCATGGCCCCCCCCCCCCCCGCACACTTGCCAAAGGCAGCTGTACTGGCCCGGCCAAAACGACCCCGAAGCTTGGCCGCTTGACTAGCAGTGCATTCCCCTGAAAGGAGCAAGGAGTCCACTTCTTGCTGCAAAGCCTGCCTCAACTCAGGCTTGACATCAAAGCGAATCTCACCCTGCGCGAAAAGAGCAAGGTCAAGAAAGGAAGGAGGCGTCTGCTGTATTTTGAGAAGCGCAATGCTGCAGCAGACACCTCTGCAGATTCTTAAGTGTGCATGACCCTTCCCAACCAACCTGCATATGCGCAACTGCAATGTTCCCCATCACCATCCTTCTAATTGGCAGCTTGGATTGGCGGTTTGGTGGTTTGGTGGTTAAGGGGTGGGAAACCCCATTTGCGCTCTACCCCAAACCAATCCAAACCACCAAATGGGGTAACCTTTCGTCCTCCCCGGACAGAGCCAAACATATGCCACAGAAATGAGGCAACCATGTTTTACACTTTAAAACAAAATGCAAAGAATACAAAGGGCACATATCCGAACCTATGGTTGAAACTGTTCCCTTCTAGCCTTCTACCCAGGTGTTGACTGTGGCTCACCCACGCTTCTTCGTTGAAAATCCGGAAGATACCAAATGAAACTCAAATCCCGAATGGACTGGGTGCCAAACGGGGCTCTGGCAACATTGAAACATTACACATCCCCGTGTGGCTTACCTTTGGGCAAATCACAGGATGTGGGCTAGCACCAATGGAAAACCGTGATGTTGGCTCTGACGCTTGGCTTCTCATCTAGCTGAAATCCACTGAAATCTATAAATTATGTCCTTCATATTGGGTGCTGCTTGCAAGGTCGGCCAAGATATGGTCTTTTTTCGCGGGTGCCTCTTCAGTGGCTCGGACCAGCCTCTGACAGGGGGGTCGTACTTCCAGGGAGAGAATCATGTTCACAAACCTCCAAGAGCCTGCAAGCCGGATCTTCTGCATGTTGCAATCACACGTGTGGGCACCTGCCTCAAAAAGAAGCAAGGTCTTGTCGCCCAACGGAGGTAAGCCAACACCCCGCAAGCCCCTGACGGCACCTTTGCCCCAAGTCCCGCGCACTCCAACCCTCGTGCCTCCATTTGGAGCACCGCCCTCGCGCCTTTGGTGTGTCTTTGGAGGGAACCCGCATCACAGGGATCCTTACATTATACACCTGAGCATTGCCTTGCAAATGGTGGCTTCCCTGTATTTTGGTGGAAAAAGCCATGTTTCAAATGGGCAAAATGTATCTTTTAAGAAGCCCTGCCGAACAGGTATTCTAAGACAAGCCGAAAGCAAACCTACCAGCCCACCAGACCCCACCCCCACCCCACCCCACCCCTCCCCACCCCTCCCCACCCCCCCACCCAACCATTCAGAGGCACATGATAAGCAGGGAAAGACTTCACATGGCATCCTTGTGCGTGAAGAAAAAAGACCGGTACGCACCTGCAGAAATCTGCCAGCGCCTTGAAACCACCGGGAAGGGCAGCGTGTTTTCCCCATCACTCGCTCACCAAAAGGATCTGGAAGCAAAAGCTCAAGTGTCCGCAGGCAAATAAGAAACCATGCTTTGCAAAGCGTAGTGCAGACAAACCACGCACGTTGTTGATGCAACCTCCAAAAACCGAGCATAGTATCTTCATTGCACTCGACTCAGGATGGTGTCCAGGAAACCAACGACAATTTCTTGCGTCGCGGATTAACCATGGACGGAAATTGCTTGTGCAAGCATGAAGGTCTTATTCATCAGTCCAAAGTGCACCAAGCTGCAGGGAAAACCCTGATTCTCCGCCTGATTGGCCTTAAGGATAGTCCATTTTGAGCTGATAGGGACGGTGCTGGGCTCCTGAACCTTCGAAATAGATGCCATCAGTCTGATGATCTGATGGGTTGCCCATGAACCAAAACTTCAGTGGGAATATCTGAAGTAAAAGGAGGCGATTCAGCGCAGCTGTTCCATCCTGACAAGCTGACCAAACCGTTACCAATACCCGTCTCAAGGCATATGAGAGACGAAACCTGTGGCTATCCTTTACACTTGGTTTGGCCAAGCTGTTGGTAACTCATGTTGGTCACCATGTGGTCGAAAGGAATTGTCCCATGGACATTCTGACCGTTCCCATCTATAAACCATTCATAGGTTGTCTTAGCATGCTAAGCAATCAGGCACTTGCTAAACTCATTGCGACTTCTTTGTGCCTATCACCCACTTTCTTGAACTGATGATGCCCTCCTCCGTCTTCTTCTTCTTCTCCTCCTCCTCCTTCTTCTGCTCCTTCTTCTTTGTCTTCTTCTTCTTCTTCTTTCATATTCAGCTCACGTGTTGGCGCGTCTGCATCTGTCAGGGCCGCCGGATCTTCCGCCCTTTGGCCCCGGCAGAGGCGGCCCAGGCGGCACAGGCCCATCCTCAGTCCAGGGGGATGTTGGACACGTTGGACGTCGCGTTTTCTCCTAAGTATTGGTTTAGGGCCTTCCTTTAGGGTATGGTTTTCTTTGGTTTGGCGGCAAAAATAATTGACTCCAAGCGCCCTGTGGAAGGAGCACTTCCCCCTTTTATCACCCGAGGTCCGATTCCTTTTTGGCGGCTAGTCCTCCAGTTGTTCCACGGGGAAAACGGACGTGGCCTCCTTGAAACTCCTCCCAGCCCCGCAGAGATGAACCACGCCGGTAGTGAGCGAAAACGTTCTTCGTGTTTTGGGGGGGGTGACATGGGTGTGGCTCAGAATTAACCAGGAGGGTTTACGCAGGTTTTGGTCTATGTTTCCACGAACCAGGGGTCCATTTTGGGACCGGTCTTTTGAGCCTCTCACTCCCCGCATGCCATTTGGCTTGCCATTGGAACATGACGTTTGCTCAGGGCCCCGCCCTAAAGCTTTGGAGGAACCTAACTTGACGCTTCGTGGAAGGCATCGACACAGGCCTCATGAAGATGATCACCCATCTATGCCACTGAGCTACCTGAATTCGGTTTTCTGGGCAGAAAAATGGCCGCGGCTGTCCTGGTGGTTTTCCTGGTGGTTTCTTTTCTGGTGGTTTTTTTTGTTTTTCTGGCGGTTTTCCTGGTGGTTTTCCTGGTGGTGTTCCTTTTGGTTTCCTTGTGTGTGAGCTCTCCGCCTCGATTCAGCCCTTTTAGCCAGCAAGTCCAACCCGAGTACCCGCATAGGGTCTACGGGCCCGGGCATAGGCCACGCCGATCATCTTGCCCGGGGCCTGCCGATCGACTCAGGGAGATGTGTCGCTTGGTTCCCTACAGCTCGGCTTGAGCTTCATTGCAAAAGGGAACCCACCATACCGTTTCTAGTGATGCAACCATCGCCTGCTTGCCAAACAAACAAACTTGCAACATTGCACCTGGCACCTGCCCCGTCATGTCTGTGTGCATGTGGGTGTGGGTGTGGGCGGTTGTGCATGGGTCAAAGGGGGTAGCACAATTTGCCTGGCTGAATGCTACCTGTGCTAGGGGGCAGCGGAAACAGAAAAACACCTACACAAACGTCAAGAAGAGCGCAAAACTACGGCGAAAGGAGGTCTGGTGATTTGGCATGGGCAGGAAGCCATAAAGTAAAGTCACCGATGCACGGCCTTATAGCGGATCTTAGAACCTTCAAAGAATGACAACATGTCCGGCTCATTTCAGGCAGCTTACAAGAAACATGTTTTGCAGTTTGCCACCCCCCGGAAAAAAGGGAACACATCGCCACTTCCCTCCCGTCCAGTCAAACGGGCACTAGATAGTGGTTTTCCTTGTTGGTGTCCCTTCAAACTAACCTGAAACGGGCATGCCCTCAAAAACAGTTTCGAAGAGAAAAACAAAAAGCGACGACCAAAAAGTTTACAGTAAGGAGCCGAGCCCAGCCCTACACCAAAGATACAGACCAAGTCTCAACATTCCAAGTCTTGTTTTATCACCTGGCAAGACTCTGAGAACTCCAAACGGCGGTGGGTCAAAAGTAGGTACCCAAAATGGAACCCTGGTGAATGGAACCAAAAACAACATGCGGTCCAATTCTTGGTGCGTCGTTTTTTTGACCCACACACCAATATGTCCCGAGTGTTCACGACGCGAATCAGAACCGGAAGCCTCAGCTGCCCCGAAAGGCTGGCAGAGGCAAGCCAAATGGCCACGAGAGTCGCGCGACTGAGGGACAGGCACCAAAAAAGAAATCAGAAACTGGCATTTTGGCCAGTTGCAATGCCGCAAAACTCAAGAGCTCTCTAAAACAGCACACTGTCAGAACATGGAGCATGGGTGGCCCCCCGGGCCCAACACAATGTCTCGGAGTCCGGATGAGTATAGAGCAAGGGAAAAGACAACAGACTCCGGGTTCCATGAGGAGCGCCTTGAACGATGCAGCCTTGAGCAATACAGCCTTGGAACGTGTGGGGGGCTCCCATATTCTGGATTTTGGCAAATATCCTCCTGATCAAGGGCTGGATCTATTGCAGTTGTCCCAACTGTGGCCGTCCTGGGTGCCGGGGAAGTGCCAAAGCCACGGCACTTTGGTGTCGAACCGCTGGAATCCACATTCTGGTCTTGCAACAGGCTGCCTGCTATTGGTTAGCCGGGGCCAGCCCTTGCCCTCTGCAAATATTGCCGAGTTGAAACAGGAATGCGCGAGAAACTTGCACGCATCATGGGGGCACTTGCGTCGTCCATTAAAACTATGGCGCAATAAGTCCGCAGCAGGGCATGCCGCTGACTCGCAACCCAAGCTGGGCTGCTTGGCAGCTCCCGCTGGACCTTGTCATGCGCCAGGTACAAAAAGCAAAGCGATGTACGCAAGTCCTGTACATCATCAAGGTGTGCCATTGCCTCACGCAAATCCGTGACAAGCTGCTTGCACGCAGCCAAATTTGCCTCGTGTATCACCGGCACAAGCCAGTCTTCAAGCCTCTTTGCCTGTGCTTGCAATAAGTCCAGCGGCACAAGTGAGAGCTTGCATCTCGCCACATCCTCAAAGGCTGTCTGAAGATCCATCAGAACAGGGCTGCTCTGGTGCAGGTATCTGAAGCTCACCCTCAACAAGTCACGAGCGACATCACTGTTGTTCTCCCGCACGGGAAGGTTCAAGTCAGAGTTTACATCTGTGCTGAAAATAAACTGGAACTTTTCCCGAAACTCGCTGAACTGCTGGGAGCTCACGCGGGGCTTGAGCTCGGCGAGGGTGATCATCTGAGCAAAGTCCTCTGTAGCCATCTGCTTGAGAAAAGTAAGCCACCCTTATGCCCTTTCATGTTTTGCATCCCAGGGAGAAGACTTGCTGTCCATTTGACACCCAGTCCTCTCTCGACTTTGCTGTTTCTTGTGGCGAGGTGTCTTGCTGCAACTGAATCGGGGCGCAGCGATCTGCAGTCAAAGTTATGCACTCCTCCTCGCCTTTGTCCGGCCACGACCTTGCTCAAGCTCACGCAAAGCACGCAACAAGCTTGAAAAATGATTCAAACTGTGGCAACCCGAACATGTGCTACTCTCGACACCGGGCAGTAAACATCATGATTCCTGAACTTTCCTGACTGCAGTCACGCAACTCACCACCTCCGCGTAAAAGGACCGAGGCAGCCCAGGAATCCGGTTTGGGCAAATGATCCTTTCGGACAAGGTCCAAAGGGTACAAGCGGGCGAGGTGTGGAATGTTTCGCTTGAAACCTTGGTGGCCGCAACCATGCCGCAGTGTCAGCCCCCAAACATGATTGCAAAGTGGCCGCCACCTATAGAAAACTGTTCGTCTACAGAATGATCTCCCTTTATCACGATCGTGAGAACCACCAGATGCATGGGCAGGAAAAACCACCCAAAAAGACTACAATCATCCAGCCTTTTGGCTACTCAAACAGACGGACATAAACAGAAACGAAGGACGGGTCAGAGTTCACAGGTGAGGACGGTAGTTGAGCGGGCAATGAGGATCAAACGGGAGGGAAGTATGACTGAGCACGCGCGTTTGCTGAAGAGATCTTATTGAGCACAAGTTATGGCATGTGCAGGTACTGCAAATGGTTTCCTAGGACGCTTCACCGCTGCTGCGGCTCCAGCCCGCACCGCAAAACCTGCAAAGCATTCAGGTGTTTGCGACTGGATCCTCAAAGGACCAACATCCCGGCGTATGAGGGCGATCTGACCCGGCCAAGTTGAAAACTCGAACACAAGCTTTTAGCGCAGAGCTCTATGCCAAGTTCCGCAGCAGGTCGCCAAGCGCCGAGCCCCCAATCACGGCGACACTTGCAGTTGCAAGATGTTGTTTGTTTGTTTTTTGTTTTTTGTTTTTCCCCCTGGCAACGGTTTCCTCGCGGGAAAAGCCTTTGCAAGCTGCCAACTAACTTACTTGCATGCTCTGCTTTCACTCCTGCGCTTTCTCTTTGCAATCGTGTTCTTTACGACTCTACTGGCTTCGCGCGACCTAGGGCGAATCAAACGCAACTGTCCCGACAAAGTCCAGAGACAGCCACCAACCACACCATTCGCATCCTAAAGACACGCCCAAGATGCTTCGAAGACACCCCAAAGGACTTCCCAAAAGGATACCCCCAAAGGCACCCAAAACCATTGCAACTTCCAGAACAACACGTCGCGAGCACGACTTCCAGGCGCGAATTCGGGAAAAGGCAGGGAAGGGGAAGAAATTCAGGGGAGAGAGGGAACCTTGAAGAGGAACAAATTCAGATTCAATGATCCACTTCAGTTGCCACTCTCATGCGCTCGATGTGTTTGCATGTCTCAAGCAGCAGTGGGGCTATCTATGACTTCAGCTTGATAAAATACTTGAATGTCAGTTGTGCATTGGTCACACATGCTCACTCGGTCTAGGCGGGCTGAGAGGTCGCCAAATCATTTGCGAGGGGCGGAAGGTAACGACCCTTCGCTGCGCAAACTGTGAGTGGGAAGGTTATCCGTGCCAGCTCTGCCGAAGCATCGAGTTATTGGCGGCAGAGCCGAACTTCCTGCAGCTGCTATGCTCAAAGCGTCATCCATGGAGAAGTTGGCATCTTTCTGCCTGAGCCCTTTCCAACAGCGCATGGACTGCTTCAAGTAGTGCATCTCGCTCCCACCTGGTCGCACATCATCCAAGAGGACCATGATCTTCCACTCCGGTTCTTTTCCGCCATCTCGGTGCCACTTCCACGCACGGAACAGCACCTCAGGGCTGATTAAAAAAGAATTCAAATACATAATGAAACTGCAATCATAGGCATACGCTACATTGGCCAATGTGCCCGACAAAGCATGACAATGCTCTTGACGAACAGCCACCTCCGGGCCAGGAAAGGTAGTGGCTGCGCGGAAATCTGACAGTTTGACCAACCCGCCGGCTGCAAAGGTGATCAGCGCGAGCAAGTATGGATCGGCAATGCAGCGCAAAACTTCTTCGCAGATCTCGACCCGCTCATGGCTTGTTGCCGTGAATGTTTTCATGTGCAAGTCGCGCTGGTAAGAACCAACTCGATTCATGGTGCTGGTGTACCACTTGTCCCAGCAGGCCAAATTTGTGATGTACCCTGGAACAATCAGCAGGCCGTCTCGCGCAAACTGCCGCGCGTGTTCTGCAAACCGCGGCCCCAGATTCTCCAGAAATCTCTCTCGGAATGGCAGCGAAGGCTGGAACACCTGCATGAACTCCTTAGTCCCGCCAGGGGCGTCATTCAGCGTCTTGTAGAAGCGACTTTCAGGCCCACCAACGTGCCAAGGATGTAGAAATCCACTCAGCAGCGTCAGCAGCAGCGATGGGGAAGCTTGAAGCGGCTCCGGCAGGACCTGCAGCTGCTGCAGCTTCTTGGAAAACAACTCCTGCGCCAGCTGAACCTCAAACTGGTCCTCGCTGAGAAAGAGCTTGAACACACCAAGCGCTTCATCCAGAAGGCTTGTTGCCAGCATCAGGCTCTTTCTGTCTGAGCCCAAGGACTCAGCGTATCTCAGCTGCGTGCGGGCTACATCGTTGGACTTCTGGCCGTAGAAATGCACCTTCATGGCGAGTGCATCTTGGTAAGAGGCATCTGCCAAGCCCTCTTCCTGCGCCACACTGGCACACTGTGTGTCTGCCCAAATCAGGGCCACTTTAACGCTTGGCCGTGATGTGCGTCAAACGGCTGGGGATCTGTCTGCCCAAAAGAATAAACAGGAAGAGCAAGGAGCAATTCTGCTCAATCGGTACCGAGGGAGATCCAGCAAGCAAGGTTAGACAGGTGCAGCATGCTGGCACAAAGTGATTAGGCTGGCCAGCTTTCACCCAGCCAGCATTTTCCGGGCTCCCAGAGAAATGGCGCGCCTTCATGATGGAGTACACGTTCGCCAAGCCGTGCAAGGAGTATGCCACTGCAGCTTCGTTGAAGTGCTCTGGGTCCTTCCTTTTCAGATGCAAGCCTTCCTCCATAAGGTATCTTGCTTCAGAAAGCCTGCCTTGCCGCCGCTTCAGATTGCCTGCCAGGTGCCGTAGCTCGGCTTGAAGCTGCGAACCCGGCGGACAAAGCTTCTTCGCCGTCGCCAAATGTTTCCTGAGCGCCACTGACAGGGGCCCCTGGACCGTCCGTCATCCCCACCACTCCCTTCACAAACCCGCCGGACCGGCGCGGCAAAATTGCACGTCACCGCGCTTACAACGCGCCCTTGTCAAAACGTGTGCGATGCTCCACGGTGATTTACCAAAAGTGTGTTTAGCTGGGGCCAAACAAAAAAGGAAATCAACAGAAAACTACATAATGTCCGTGACGAAGATTTCCTGGTTTTACAACTAGCATGTGCATCTTGCCTCAGCGACACACGCAAACCATACTGCCCTGCTGCAAAAGCAACGCCGCGTCTGCACTTCTGTGATCTGTGGCATACGCCGCGCGAAGGCAAGTCTTGCATGCGGGCGGGCGTTCTCAATATGCGCCAGGCATGTACGCAGGTGTACGACGGAGAGCGTGGGCGGGTGCGCTTACCATGCGCCAGGCATGTACGCAGGTGTACCACGGAGAGCGTGGCCGGGCGTGCTTACAATGTGCCAGGCATGTATATACACAGGTGTACGACGGAAAGCGTGGGCGGGTACGAAAACCCACTTTCTGCGGGCGGTAAAACGTCCACTGGCTTCAACATCCCGAAAAGAGGAAAAAGAAAAAAAAGACAAGACATTGCCACGCTGGTTTCCGGGGCGTAGGCACAAACAAGTGCACAAGAGCATGTGTAAACACTTGCCGTCAGCCGGGTGTCTCAGCACCCTCAATGTCTTGCACCAGCACTTCGCAATACACGCTGCGCAGCGCCTCAAATCGAACAGCCAGCTCAGCCAGCTCGATCTTGCCTTTGAGGGGTAGCTGTTTTGCAAGCTCAAGGAAATGGTTGGCGCTCTCGCTGTCCCTTTGCTCGTGCACATAGAAGTCGGCCGCGCAGCACAGCAAGTGGCCATACAAGGAAGGATGAGCCTGGGCACGTTCCGTGTTTCACTGGCCAAGAAGAGCGCGTGAACATGCGGAAGCAGCTGTCGATTTGAACGGACAACTTCTGGCGCTGCGTGCAGGCTTCGCTTAAGCAAGCGCCGAAGCACCGATGCCACGCTGTGCGCAGCTGTGTGCCGGTCATTGATCGTCATGCGCGACTTCATGAACTGCTGAACGACCCGGTGGACTGTGTAGTCCTCCACTGGTGATGTGCATTTTAAGCCCCCCTCATGCGTTCGTTCGGCTGACCAAAAACAGCAAAGGCACCAACAACGCCGGCAGACATTTTGCAGGTTCAGCCCTGTTCACAGGTCAACGCAAAGGGCATGAAACCTGGTTGGTCTCAACTCTCAAGTTCTATCGCTGCACCTACTGGTAGATTCAGCGAATCCACCTGATTGTAAAGCCAAGGAGTGGAAAAGCACACCTCATGTCAGCGCAAAGTTCTAATGTGGCTTGGGTTCCGGTCCGGGCTGCATTGAATTGAAGCTGGGGTGCCTGGAGAACGTACAGTTTTACAATGATCAGCACGTGCTCCCACCTGGTAGACTGTGTTCTGATGTGTTTGGAACCCGAAACAACGGCTAAAACACAACTGGCCAAAACCAAAAACGAAAACTCGAAAATTTGATTAATCTGAAAAACACCGAAACTCCAGGTCCTCTGCAAAAGAAAACAAAACACTAAAAATCGAGAAAACAGAAAGACTAGCAAAGTCGCTTGCAAGACCCTAGAAATCAGGTTTGGCGCGAAGAAGACAGTTAAAACAAATGCGAGAATGTCCCCATATATTTAGCTTCAAGTTTGGTAGGAAATATGCTACAAATAAACTGTAAATGTAGTAAGTACCGTGTAGTTGGGCGGGGGGATGAAACTTGCAAATGTCAAGGCTTAATGACAACACAGCCAACAGTGCGAATATAGAAATATAGAAAGGGAAGAAATTTAGAGAGAGGGTCCATTCGAGAACTCGGGAACACAAATTGCCTGCGAGACCCTAGACATCAGGTTTGGCGCGAAGCTATGTCCCCTTATATTTAGCTACAGTTGTGGGGGAATGCTACAAATAGAGTGTACACACAATTGGGTGGGGAGGCTAAAACTTGCTCATCCAATGACAACACTGCAAGCATCGTGGATTGAGTTCTCTTGAAAGTGAACAATTCTAGAAAGAAGATCCATACATCAGCTTGGCAGGAAGCAAAAAACAACAAAAACCACAAGAGTTGTCCTTGTGATTAGCTACAACAAAGAGTCCGTAAACATAGCAACATTTATATAATTGGGTGCGGTTGCATTTAATGACAACACAGCAAACATTGTGAATGTAAACTTATTGAAAGAAGAACTTGGGAATCACCAAGAATGGAATGCGAGTCCGTAGAAATCAGGTCTGGCACGAAACAAACAACTTTAAACAAATCACGAGAGATCCATTATATTATAGCTACAATGTTGGTAGGAAGCATGCGAGCTACAAAGACAGCGAAAGCATAGTAGCGAGTAATTGGGTGCGATTGGGGATGAACCAAAATACATTTGCCAATGGCAAAACATGTGAAAATTCAATTAAAGGTTGAAGACGCACGCGGGGAAAAAAAAGAAAATGCAAAAAGAAACATCCCCACGAAAACCCGAAACACACAAAAAGTGTGAAGAAACTCTGAAAAAAAAACAACATACCAAAAAAAATAAAAGGAATATGTGACAAACAAACCACAACTGACGCCAAAAAAAAGAAACAGTAACAAACAAAATGCTCAAAAGAAAAAGGCAACTGGTGCGGGAAAAACAAACACACACCAAAAAAAAAGGATCTGGTCCTCCGTGCAAAACAAATTTACTCTAAATATTGTCGTTCTTCCGTTGTGCATGTTTTGCGGAAACCGCACGGAGCACGACGCCAAATACTATTGTTTAGCAAATTTGACATCTGCCCTCAAATCGACAGAGCGGGTCACCAGGGTGGCTCACAAGACCCGCTCACACGGGCAAAGAATTGACCTTTTTCACAGGGGGTGGCAAAGGATCTGCAATTGAATCTCTACAAAAGCGTTGAGCAGTTGTAAGCCGCCTTTACACCGTAAAGCAACTTCAAAACGCCTCAGGCGGCCTGTCCTGAACCTCGTGGTTGCCAGCTTTCAGCCGCGAAAGGAGGGAGCAGTGCCACAAGTTGCCCACGGCATTGCCTGGCTGTCCATCCGACTGTCCAGAGTCCAAACATGTTCAGCGATCATGACATGGGCAAGGCTCCGTTGGTCACAACAAGTGCGTAAGCACCGGGCCGGAGATGTGAAGAAACTGCTAAAAACGCTTCATGGCGTCTGTAAAATTTACCAACCCACCATGGCACGCTTTGCCAGCTGAGAGCAGTCGCGGCACAACTCGTCGACCAGCTCTCGCAGCAAGCTCGCTGGGATAACTGCTGCGTCTAGCCAAGCAACAGCATTTAGGACCTAAGGTGAGCAGCAGGGACCCAAAAGGCAACTCTCACTAGCTGTTGAGGAGGGGGCCCTGCTCAGCTCGCGCAATGTGTTGTAAGTAATTCCTTCAGCTACAAACATCTTCTAGCACGGAAAATGCCTTTTGTAAGACTTCCTTATTGGCGCCACTCCGTTGTCAACACGAAAAAAAAGGCGTCATGCATCTCATCTGTTGCACAGGTTGACACAGGTTCCACCAATAATTGTCCATTTGTTTCATCTCATCAGTCTGTCCTGTTGCGGAAGAGCAAAGTCACGGACGAAGACTAAGTCGCGACTCCCTGTAAAAACCCTGGAATCTGGGCCCTTTGCTCCTGTGTCTGGGTGAACACGTGTAAAGCACCATGGGGCCCTTTCGTGTGTTCCATGTTCAGGATTGGTGTATTCCATGCTCAAAACAAAATGTGTTTCAGGACATGAGTTCAACACGATGATGATTGCGACGATGATGGTGATGATGATGAGGATGACGATGCCAACAGGAGCTCTGAAATGACCATCTTTCACTGCTCATTCCATCATGTAATACCCTCTCTCGCATCCACAAACGATCTTCCAATCAGTGCTGGGTGTTGGTGTTTTTGTGCCACAATGAGCAAGCGTGAACGTTGGCAGTGTGCAAGAGTGCTATGCGAAACTGCAGGTAGCTGTAGCCTCAATCACAAGAGCCATATTTCACACAAAGGGTTCAGCCACAACGGCAATGAAGAAGCCACGGCTGGTATTTGGAAATTTCTCCCGGCTCAACGATCGGCGCTCTGCCCTTCAGCTGTCTATGGCAGGAAACGGCCGGACTGAGGTTTTGCAGCCACAAAACCTCTTGCAACCCAGATCCCAGCCAACCACTTTGCACGAGCGCAGTCGAAATCCATGTAAAAAGGACGGGTGTACAATAATTACCGCAAAGCCGCACCACCCCAGATCCCAGCCAACGACTTTGTGCGAGCCTGCGCAGTCAAAATGCATCGGCAGTCCACGGTGGAACTCTTGCAACGAGTCTTCCATTATTCTGGCGCAATGCTTGATTCAGGCGTTCAAGGGAAGCCACGATTTTGACCAGTTGGCAGATAGAATCACACGTGCGAGTTTTGTGTCATGAAGCAACCGCCGGCAGGGGCACAGTAAGCTTCTTATTGGCGCGCTGCGAAAGACATGTCATGGCGCAATGCTCATAAGGAGCGGAAGTGGCTGCTTTGCCATTTCAAAGATCCCACATTTCTCAAGCGGTTCATCAACTCGGTGCTTAGAAATTCTCCCGCGGGTGCTGTGCGACCAGTGTCAACATAGCAACGCCACCACGACAAACTGAAACAGAAATTGGACTCTCCCAGGACCCTGCGTTGTGTGGTCTTGGTGTTGCAGCTTCGGCACCTTTTCAGAGTGCTCGTTGCCATTGCGCTGAGAAAGCTTGGCCAAGATGATCTCTAAGGTGGCATGCACAGATCGGCTGTAGCCATCCTTGGTTGCCGACATACTCTACAGCCACTTTTCTATCCAGAATGGGAACTCTTGAAGCAAAGAGTCACGCTGAATTGCATTGAGATGACCCTCTTGCTCTTGCAGTTGGCTGTACTGCTCCTCGTACTCCTTTATATAGTCGCGAACCGTCATTTCAAAGTATCGGATGGCGCCGCTCGCTTGGACCAGGGCAAGTGGGAAGTCATCCAGCAAACGGGCAAGATTCCAACAATCTCGAATCTTGGGCGAGACTAAAACGGGTGGGTCAGGCTGACGGTCCTCTGGATCCATGTGCGACCATTCGCACATGAGATCTGCTTCCCTTCGCGCATCCTCCAAGTCGCCGTCGGAGATGTTTCCTTGGCTTGGGGAAAAACAACTCAGAACCACAACTAGCCTGCGCTGAGCATGTGGCGCCTGCCCAACAAACAGGCGTTGCTACCAACAAAGCAACCAAGAAAAGAACATCAGTGAGCATCCCCACCCTTGAGATTTGCTTTCATAGTCCCAGGCGGCGATTGATTCTCTGCTGCCACGCCTCAAAGAATCGTTGCATGGTCAGCAAACACGCGTCAGTACTTGAACGCGTCAGTACTGGGATGCCATTTCGTGGAAATGGCTGCTGAATGAAGGCCCTATTTGCCAACGGACCAGCAATCACAAGCCCTCTCTGCGACTCTTAACTCCGGCAAATTGCTCACGTTGGCGCCCCTCATCTGGCTTCGAAAGTTGATACACCCGGGCTAAGACATTGGCAACCATTACTACAGAGTGCAGTTTTTCAACGTGACCTCGTATGTCTTCCTTGTACATCCCAATCCCCACTAAGATAGACTAAAATGGATGGTGCACCTACCCCAAAATGGTACCATTGGTTTTGACGAATGGCCTGCAAGTTGCCCAGGTTGTTGTTCAATACTCCATTCACCATCCGCCCATCTCTGTTATTACGGTGCATGGAGGAAGTCTTGGGCATCAGGGAACATTACCCTACAAAGGTTTCCGCCATTTATGGGATGTGAGCTGACGCGATTCCATAAAGACCGCTCAAGGTGCAAACTCAACCCGCGTCAAGCAACACTACCCAGCCTCAAAGAACAAAGGAGGCTTCCCCAAAAGGAAAGCTGTCTGCTTCCCCCCTTCGTGTCCACTTCCATGATTGTTTTTAATAAAGTAAGCTTCGCCACCTATGCCTAGCTGAGCGTCGATGAAGCAGCACCACAGCATCTGGCCGCGCCAGGCGTCCCAGTTCCACTGTGGTTCCTGGAGCCCAGAACTGGTACCGGGAGGTGATCAACACATGACCCACGCCCGAAGGCCGGTGATGCTCGATGTCTTCCGCCTCGGGGGCTACGCCGGTCACGCCGGTAGCATTTTGCATGGAATTAAGCACATGCCAGTGGAGAATTCAAAGGGTTCTGGGGATCCAGTCTGACATGAATCTAGCACCCCTGCAGTCAACGGCTGGATGAATGCACAGCTCAAAAGGATGACCCGCGTCCTGCTCCACGTTGTCGAAAACGATCAGCCACCTACGGTTCCGCAGGAAATCATCCAGCTTGACCTTGACTTGCAAAGGCGTGAGCTCTGGACCCAGGTCCACCAGAGCAGACACACAGTCACGGAAGCTCGTGGGCAAGTCGCGCTCTGCATCGACCCAAAGGATGATGTCATATTGCTCCCGATTGCGAATGGCAAAGGCCTTGGCAAGCTGCGTCTTGCCGACTCCGCCTAAGCCAGTGATCGCTCTGGTTTGTACGATGGCACACTGTCCCGCAACATTCGGCTGGAATTTGTTCCAAACGGTTCTCAGCTCCTCCAGCCGGCCGGTGAAGCTTTCGTTTGCCGCTGGAACGCCAACCAATCGCCCCTCCCGATGGGATAGAAATGGGTTCGGCCACAGGCCATGCCTTTCTGAGGCAGTGCGGGTAAATCCAACCTGCTGATGCAAAAAGGGGCACGTGTTGCTCATGTCCGAGGAGACTGCAGCGTTGAGTTCCTTGTAGAAGCAGTCGATGGAGCACTCTGGGCCACTCAGCAGGAAGATCAAATTGCTGGCAAACGAGCTCAGCTCACCCTTTGGGCCGTCATGCGCCAACTGTCCTGATAGGCAGGCCCAAAGCTCGGTGACTGTTCGTTGGAAGCGCCTCTTGGGGTTGGTCACGTGCCCTGTCTTGCTCATTGCACTGGCAGAAAAAGCACAGGAGCTTCGGCAGGTGTCAATGAACAAATAAATTGACGCATCTTGTGCTATTGGAAGACCAATCAGCTCATTGCACAAGACTTGCACATTCATCCCATGATTCTCTGCAGAATCCTCTTCTCCCTTGCAGGAAGCCCACCTCAATGAAATGTCTCCTCTTGGAGTTTCCCGAGCGTGGGCGGCCAAATACCCAGCAATCACACGTGTCCGAGCACTTACAGATTTGCAGAGAGGGCCCCAGACCTTCGCATCCCACTCATCAGTGGTTCGTATGTCGCTCGCAGAGATCACCTTCTGGGAGGAAGGAAACACAACGACACCTGACACTCCCTGTTTAAATGGTCTATATTATATATGATTTCGTGTGTCTGTGTTTTGGATGATCAAGGGGAGACTCGCTCGCAACCTCCAAACATGCGCGCCTTGTACTGCAGCTTGCGGAAAGCCTGGCAAACCTCTTCGCAGCTGCGGACCGCGTTGGCCAGCGGTCGCCAAGAGGAGTGGTTCACACCTACGCCGAAAAAGACCCATGAGTCACTCAATTCCATGCTTAAAGCCCAAACTGCGGCAGGATCTTGGCAGCAACAAGTCTTGCCAATGCAATGGGCCGTCTCATCACCACAGATGCAGTGAGTGATTTGATCTTGTCATCTCCCAACGTTGGCTGTCGACAAATGAGTTTCAAAAGGCAGTGGCAAGGGCGGCATTTCATCTTGTAAACCTGTCGCGAGATGCCAGGTTGTGCATACATAGCTCTGTTGCAAATCAGTTCATTCCAAAACATGATGCGGACACACACCTTGAAAACGGGACAACTTGGAACGCTGGGGAAAAAAACAAAAAAAACCTGCCCCTATCCAGACGAGTATCCCCGATGAATCCTCGACAGCGGTGTCGGAGATAAATCGAAGGCCATGGCATGGCATTAGCCCCTCAAAACCACAGGGCGCAACAACACAGCGGGGCAAGTGTGCAGAAGCAAGACAAACACGGCGGCACGTGTTTAGAAAAGTGGGAGGCAAGTGCACCAAAAACAGGCGCGATCTGCGCAAGTACACCGGACTATCAGTGTAGGAGCAGAAACGGCCACCGCGGATGTAGACTCACCCGAAAACAGCGTTGCGGATCCAGCAGCCGCCAACACACAAAGGAATAAAGAGAAAAGGCTGAACTACAAAATCATCAAATAGCAAATACGGGAGCGCGCCAGTGCGAAAAAAATGCCGGGGTGAACATGACAATGAAGGAGAGAGTATGCATGGGACACTGCCAGCATACCAAGAAGAACGGGGGCGGCAAAGGCTGATAAAGGAATGAGAATGATCTGCCGAGCTGCCAGGTCATCCAGCAGCAAACATGGAAGCGACCCCGCAGCGCTCCAATGCGAAATCAAGGCTAGAATCCTGTTCAATGCTTCAAGCCAAACCGGGACAAGAGTCAACGAGCGGCGCTCAGCTCTTTTTGTCAGGTGTTGCTCAGAGGTGACAATCTCAGGGATGCCGATAAAGCGACAACGCGTGTCCAACCCATATCCTCTGCATCCCGTGCGGAGCCTGCTGCGTACCCCCAGATCAACGACGCGTGTTCGACCTTCACTGTAGATTTGTTACCTACCAGGCCGAGCGAACAGAAGGTACGCCGATGCTCAATGTTGGCGGCTGCTGGATCCGCAACGCTATTTTCGGGTGAGCCTACATCCGCGGTAGCCGTTTCTGCTCCTACACTGATAATCCGGTGTTAGAATCCTGTTCACTGCTTCAAGCCAAGAGGGACCAGTAATAAACAGGGGGAGGAACTCACAACTCGATCGGCCGAATCGTCCTGCTCCTTTGTTATTAGGCGTTGCTCAGAAGTCCAGGCTCGAGGATGCGGGAGGGACGACAAAGCGTGTCCATCCCCTGACCTGCATCCCTCTGCGGAGCCACAGGGTGTGTTACCCAGGGGTGTGAAACAAACTGGAGGTATTGTGGCACTTCAAGCAGCAAGCTTGTGTGCGAAAAAATGAGGATTGCGTCCTCAAAGGATAAGACCCACGGCTGGTCCTGTAACGTTGTGTATCCCACGAAGCAACGCGTGCTCCGTGAGAGATGCTGAGGAATGCGTCCTCACGCGTCGGACTGAGTCCGGAAACATGCTGGAGGAATGCGTCCTCGCTTGTGCTTTGGCGCAAAAAACCACATGCAGCAGAAAGTGCAAGCTGGCACCGTGCGCTGATGGAATGGAAACCTAATGAGCCTCACTTCTTGGGCTGGAACACATGGCGGAGGAGTGCGTCCTTGCACGCAGAGGCAAGAAAACTACACTTAGCCAAAAACGTGCATGCTGGCACAATGTGCGGATGCAATGCAACTCCTATTAAGTTAGAATGGTCACAAAGCAACGCGTGTCCTCTCTGTCTCGCGGAGTCCGAAAGGACATACTGGAGGACTCCCGCCTTGGAGGCTGTGTCGGGATGCAAACGCAGTGGCATGTCTGCCCCTTGGCAGCACAGGCGACGCGCATGAGCGCGAGTTGGGCGAGGGTCTCAAAGCATGCGATGCACCGCTGTGCTTCTTTGGCTAAGCAAGGCCACTGTGTCTGGACTTCTGTGAAGTCCCACGTTTCTGCGAACCAGGAAACGCAACGCTTAGAGCTTCGGCACAGGCGTCTGCTGCCGCTTTGCACGCAAGCATGGGCGGGCATGCCATGCTCATTTGGAAGCACTGCGTGAGCCATTCCAAGCTGGCTTCGCTTGCCTTAGACAGGCGGGCAAGGGGCCCGACACACGCACCCACACGGCTTTGTGGTTTGGACCAATGGATGGATCTGGGCCTCTTGGAATTCCAGAATTCGAGAACCTATGGGCGTGAAGATGCGGCAAGGACGGCCTTGGAACTGAGCAAAAACGCGGCATAGTCGCGCATGCGCGGAAATCATGCAGCCCGGAGGCGCAGGTCCGAGTAAAGTGGCGCAAGCCAAGCCCTGAGCTCTAGGCTTAAGCTAGTGGCCCAGATGAGCAAACCCAGGACTTGCTCCAGGAGTTTGCGTTTCACTTTACCTGATAATAACAGCACGCGAAGCTGTTCTATTAGTTTCATGGTCTTCACAGGTGTGAGCTCGATTGTTTCGAGACTGAAATTTATGTTCCACCCACACCAGGTGAGTGCGTCCTGGAACTGCACCTTTTTTCAGAAATCGGTGCTGATATTGCGGCAAAAAACACGACAATGAGTGCCAACAGCTCGTGCGCGATTGTTCGACGCAGAGCTGCAAGCCACGAACAGCCAAGCTCTCTGCGGGCAGCAAACGAAGCAAAAAAGCTCCGGTGCCACCAATAGGCAGAAAAACGCGCCAGAACTCTGTACTGGAACGGAGTATTTGCAAAGCGAAACAATAGGAGGCCGTGTTCGCTTGGGTGGACTTGCACCTGCTTGCGAGCGGCTTTGAAATCGAAGCTTGCTCCCATGAACGAGGAACGCGCGTCCTCACAAAGGAAGCCAGGCGCACATGCGAGGCCATTGGCAGGCTGGTGCGCTCTGGTGTGTTGCATTTGGGGTTTACCCCGAGAACCAGGCGTGGTTCTTTGCCTTCTGCGCGCACGACGTTTAGCTTGCCGATCGCGATGCCTTTTGGCCAGCGCTGTCGCGCTTCTTCGACAGACATGTCGGTGCGAACGACCCAGCCACTGGCAATTTCTTTGTCGAGGAGAGCAAAACCTCTGCAACTTTCCAATTCTAGTGAAACAACAACGCGGTGGCTGCAAACGGAGCTTGGGCCGGCGCAGGATGGCCAAAAAGAGGTTGAGGAGGCTGCAATGGCCTAAAGAAAGCACGCAACTATTTCCCAAAAACTTTGGCTGAGCGCGAGTCAAAAGGCGCCGAAGGCAAGCAAGCTGCACAAGCGAAGCGAAAGCATGCCCACTGAATTGCGCAACAGGAAAAAGGATGTCCGCTCAGAGGCAAGTCCCTGAAATGCCAATGTTTCACCAGCCCGCCTAGGGACGCCGGCGCGAATCGACTCCCGCTCGGACGCAAGGCTGGGCGCGTCACGCGTGTCTGGCACGGCCCCCACGCCGGGCACGTACCAGCGCAGGTCTGAGTGCACCCACCACTCAAGCTACGCGGTCAGAAAGGTTCACAAAGTAGCCAAGGATCAGAGTCACCGGGGGCGGTGCGGTGTCTGACACACAGGTATGCGGAGTGCCCGTGCTGATGGGATCGCCGGCACGTTCCCAGCAAGGAGCCCAACCTTGAGGACTGGAAGGAGATGCGGCAGAAGGCTCGCCAGTGAGCTGCGGATCCCGCCCAGACTCTACCCGCTGAGTATCCCGCTGAGTATCCCGCAGTAAGTACGCTTGGCGTTTTCCGTTTTCTGTTCCGGCGTGTTTTAATCAGCCGCGTGGCCATTTTGGCTCAAGCCTTTTTAGATTTCATTTCGCGCCGACGCCTGGTGCATGCGACTGACCCCAAAAAACGACAAGCCGAAAAAGAGTTTTTCTCCGTCGTCGCTTGTCATTGCCCCCTTTTTGGTGGAAAAAGTGCGCAGAACGGTCAATTTCTTGAATTCCCAAAAACCTCGCTTCCAGGGCTCAAAATCTTGGCAATATTGAATCAATGTTGGTTCAGACCGTGCTTATCCACGCCAAGGCAGCTTTTGGGTCCGTGTGAGTGCCAGGAGCAGCCTGCCAAGCTTGTCATCGTTGTCATCGTTTTGTCATCGTCGGGGTTTGGGCTTTGGGTGCCAAAGGCAGCCTGGCATTGTTTTGTCATCGCCGGGCTTTGAGCCTCAAAACCTACGAGTCCGGCTTCTGCACTGAGCCAAGGGAGCTGTTGGGTCCGTGGGTGCGAGGACAGCCTGTCGTTTTGTCATCGCCGGGATTCGAGCCTCAAAACCTTGCAGAGTCCGGGCTTCTCCACTGAGCCAAGAGAGCTTTGGTCCGTGTGGGTGCCAGGAGCAGCCTGCCAAGCTTGTCAGTGCTTTTGGGTGCCAGGGGCAGCCTGCCAAGCTTGTCATCAATGTCATCAATTCAAGCCCAGAAACCAGCAAATCCCAAGCGCGGGCTTATCCAGAAACACGAGCAGCCTGCCGCTTGTCACCCTTGTCACCGGTATGTC